TGCTTCGGGTCGTTGTCATGTTGGAAGACCCAGCCATGACCCATCTTCAATGCTCTGACTGAGGGAAGGAGGTTGTTGCTCAAAATCTCACAATAAATGGCCCCATTCATCCTCTCCTTAATATAGTGCAGACGTCCTGTCCCCTTCGCAGAAAAGCACCCCCACAGCATGATGTTTCCACCCCCATGCTTCACAGTAGGGTTGGTGTTCTTGGGATGCATCTCATCCTTCTTTTTCCTCCAAACACGACGAGTGAAGTTTAGACCAAAAAGTTCTACTTTGGTCTCATCTGACCACATGACTTTCTCCCATGCCTCCTCTGGATCATCTAGATGGTCTTTGGCAAACTTCAGACGGGCCTGGACATGTGATGACTTGAGCAGGGGAACCTTCCGTGCAATGCATGATTTGAAACCATGACGGCGTAGTGTTCTACCGACAGTGACCTTTGAAACTGTGGTCCCAGCTCTCTTCATGTCATTGACCAGCTCCTCCCTTGTAGTTCTGGGCTGATTCCTCACCTTTCTCATCATCCGTGATACCCCACGAGGTGAGATCTTGCATGGCGCCCCAGTCCGAGGGAGATTGACAGTCGTCTTTAGCCTCTTCCATTTTCTAACAATTGCTCCAACAGTTGATCTGTTTTCACCAAGCTGCTTGGCAATTGCCCCGTAGCCCTTTCCAGCCTTGTGGAGGTCCACAATTTTGTCTCTGGTGTCTTTTGACAGCTCTTTGGTCTTGCCCATGGTAGTAGTTGGCGTCTGACTGACTGTGGGGTGGACAGGTGTCTTTAAAGAGCTCAGACAGGTGCTACTAATTTAGATTAATGAGTGGAGTAGAGGTGGACTTTTTCAAGGCACAGTAACAGGTCTTTGAGAGACAGAATTCAAGCTGTTTCTCAGGTGTTCAAATACTTATGTTCAGCAGTGCTAGACAAATAAATTCTTTAAAAATCATACAATGTGATTTCCTGAATTCTGTCTCTCAGAGTGGGAATGCACCTACAATGTGAATTTCAGACCCCTCCATGATTTCTAAGTGGGAGAACTTGCAAAATCACAGGGTGTTCAAATACTTCTGTTCCTCACTGTATATTTGAAACAAAACTGAACAAATGTTGTCTCAGCACTCAGACAGGTAGGTGTAAATTAAATGTATATTATTTAAAACATGTGCACTCTTGTTCTGTGCTGAGCTGCTTGGCAGATACAGGGGAGAGCATCCTCCCTGACCTCAG